AATACACAAAAAGATCTCTGACATAGCTCCTTCTTCAAAGTTACTCAAAAGAGTAACAAAACTCTTAATTAATGAAAAAGTGACCAAATCAAATAAAACTATTATATTTGAACTCTAAAAAGGTATTAAAGAGAATTATACCAGATTCTGGCAGAAGCCCAAATACATTCTCAAAAAAGCTCTTGGCAATCTAAAACTATTGTTGGATCTTTTAATTCTTTCTGAAGGAGACAAACTGCATGATGACCCTAACAAACTAATTGAAATCATTACAAACCACTTTAAAAAAATTCTTGAACCAAAACCCTTCAACATTGACCAAACTTGACAAAATCAATATATTTCCATGAGTTCAATTCCTGACAACACATTTAATTCCTGACAACATATTTAATGCAACATGTGATAGAATTTTATTTCTAGAGATTAATAAAGTTCTCAACAATCTACCAAAATGAAAGACACCAGGATTCACCTGTATTCCATATGAAACATGGATCAATCTTGATACAGCTACAAGACAGCAAATTAAAAAACTATTTAATAAAGTGCTTTTCACATCTCTCCCACCAAAGCACTAGAAACAGTTAGCTATTACATTACTGCCAAAAAAAATAATCTGGTCACATAACCTAACAGATACTCATCCTACCTCACTAATTGAAACCAGCTGGAAAATTTTCACTAAAATTATTAACAAATGAGTCTCCAACATAATCGACAAGAAAAAAATCCTCTCAGGTTTCAACTTCACTGGCCTGAAAAACCAAAGTATTATGAAACCAATCTCAATTATTACTTCTGAATATGGTTCCGAAAATAGGAATCGAATAGAATCGAACAGAATCGCATGAGTTTTGGAACACTATTAAAAATGATGGTAGGGTATACCCCACCTATTAAATTTAATATAAACTTGAGAATCGAATACAGAATCGAAGAGAATCATTAGGATCCTTACTTCTGAATTAGAAATTGCCAACAATTTAGGAAAAGAACTATAAATATCCTCCTTTGACATATTCAAAGCTTTCAACTCGGTTAACCTCAACAGCTTGGATGCAGTTATGAAAAGGATAAAGCTGTCTCCCCAAATTGTTCACTTGTCTTAAACCTGCTTAACAATAGAGAACTCCAAATTATCTCATATTATAAACTAACCAATTCCCTTTATACTAGCAATGGCATCAATCAAAGCAAAATATTGGCTCCTTTTCTTTGAACCATTTTCTATAATTCAATAGTTACTCAAGTTACTAACATTATATTACCAAAATTAAAAATACTTGCCTATATGGATGACATTACCATACCTAGCAGTTCTCTCAACTCTCTTCAAAATACTACAAACATCTTCTTTTTCTTTCTAAAAATCAATTCCATTAAATGCAACAAGAAAAAAACTGAGTTAATCAATAACCTTAACACAAAAAACTTACACCGAAACCAAGTATTATATATAAAAGATGAACCTATTCAAGCCAAGCCTCATCATAAAGCAATCTGGTACTTGGGAATATAAATCTTTAGCAAATCAACTTTCACTTTCACTAAAACAAAACTTATAGAAAAAATCAGCAATTTCACTAAGGCAATTTCAAATCAAAAAGGTTGGAATGGATCAATTACAAGACAAGCTTCCCATTAAATAATCCTAGCACAATTAGATTACACTATACAAGTCACCACTCTAATTGACACAGATCTCAACAACTTGCAATCAAAAATAAAATAGGAGTAGAACAAACTATCTCAGACAAAATTCTTTTTTCACATGCAAATCTCAATATCATCAAACTTGAAAATAAAAGAGATCTTATAACTATCAAACTGTTAATAATCAAGCTAACAAATTCCAAGATCTTTTCCTACACCAGGAAAGAAATAAAGTCCATATAAGCCTCAAGTGCAATCTGGTCATGTCCCTTATGTAACCCATCCCACTTCAAAACAATCTGGATAACAAAAACAGTGCAGCTAACAAAAAAATATAGCATTAATGTTTGTTTCTTCCCATGCCTATTTGAAATTGCAAATTATTAGTAGTCAATCAGCTTCTTTATAAAAATCAATAAAAAAATAGTCCTTATACTCTATTACTCTAATCTCAAAACAGTACAAAACCTATTTGTCTTTGGAATAGGTAACAAACTCTCTTGGCAAGAACTCCATATATATAAAAAATACATATCAACTGGTCCTGCTCTATCATGGTTCACAAATATTTCATGATCAAGCAATTCAATTGTCAGAGACATATTACCAGTTCCTAACTGAAAACTACAATTTTGGGCATATCTAACAGAATCTAACATACTTAGCCTCATCAAAGTCAAACGCAATGTCATTATATGCTATTTGCTGAAATTCATAGATTTTTGATGCAATTGATGCAATTATTTGACACAATTAATTGAGTCACTATAAAAACATATAAATAATTGAGTCATGATGCAATTATTTTTGAAGATTTGGGAATTGAGTTAACAGCAAAATAATTTATATCATATGCATAACCCACATTATACCATTAATAATATTAAACAAATAGAAAAATGCAGTTGCAGCACACAACTTTGTTCAAATTTATCAATATCAATTAACTTAAATCTATATGGTCAACAAAAAGAAATAGCACCTACTATATTCTCAACAACCTATAAGAACTTATAAATAGTTTTGATACTCATCTCGCCACACCCCAATTATTCCTATTTCTCAACAAACATTTTCACTACCACTAACTTATTACACAATCTACTTTATAAATAATGACACAATAACTATTCACAGCTCTCAAAAATCTTGTATCTACAACCTAAATCTCAATCCTCTTTTTTTCTTCTGGATAATTCTCTCTTTACTCTGTTCAGAAGTTTCTCGATTATCTACAATCACTTGTTTTTCTGTATACAAACTTAACACTAAGTTATCTGAATATATTAATTGCCAAGTAAAACATCCAATAGCAGTCTCATTCAAAATATTAACATTCAACTCAAAGTAAAACAAATTTTCATGACTTGGATTTTTGACAAAAAGCAATTCCCTTTAACTATTTCTCAAGGCTAAGGATCCTAACAATTCTCTTCGATTCTATATTCAATTCTCAAGTTTATATTAAATTTAATAGGTGAGGTATACTCCATTATTATTTTTAATAGTGTTTCGAATCTCATACAATTCCCTGTGATTCTGTTTAATTCCAATTTTCAGAACTATACTCAAGGTATTTGAACTATACATGTTTTCTTATCACCATAAAAGGAAATTTAATTGACAATACAATTTCAAATTAAATACAATTCCTAATTACTTACTAATTGTTACTTAATAATATAAACATAATATGATTTTTGAAAAATGTCTGAATTAAATATGAACATATATATGATTCCAATACCTATTTCTACTTTTCATCCAACTAGTTACACTATATCCTATTAATCAAGCTCAGTTTCACAACTAGTATTAAATAATGGATTAAATTCATAAATTATTACATTAACCTTTTCAATATTTTTCTAAGTGAAACCACTATAAACAAACCTAAAAACCTTTCTGAACTAGATATCATTATTAAAACTAACAAAAAACTAAAAGACATTAACAAAATTAACTTTCACTTACTTTCTATCTTCAGAATCAAAATCTTAGCAAACCAGCTTCCTACTTGAGCCAAACTTCACAAAAGATATCCCCTACTTTACGAAGATGACCTGTGCCCTTGCTATAAAACCTATTTAGAAATCTTGGACTATATTTTCTTTTGCCACCACTGCCTCCCTACTTTGAGAAAAAAAAACAAACTTGAAATCCTTATTGCCCTAAATATTTCCAAAAAGAAATTAAATTTGAATGAGACTTATTTTCTCCAAACAACCAACCTAACAAGCAAAACAATACTCAATATAGCTATTGGAAAGTTCAATATCACCTTTAATATTATTTAGAAAAGGGAAGAAATCTCAAACTACTCTCTCAAAATCTTGCACAAAATTTGGAAGCAGTGCTTAGCAACTATCACTATCTTGACAATTTCAAAAATCAAATGGAAAAAAACCACCCCATGACAAGTATTAACACTAATCATTCAAATACAAGCACCTTTCAGAAAGTTCTCAATATTTTAAAAAATTCAAATAATCTTATTGACAAAAAAATTTTTATACCAACCATAGTATTATTGTTTTGAATAAGCATTAGCCATTAAACACTTTTAGTATATAAACACCTACTTGGTGTCAATGTATACTAATTGTAAAGTTGCAATAGGCTACAATTAATTTAACCTCTATGTATTTTAAAGATTGTTAATGTAATGACGATAAACCAATGTTTAATAAATGTCTCACATTTAATGCCTGTTTGTGATTTAAAAAAAAAAATCTAATCTCATTATTGATTAATTCCTTTTCCCTAATACTGAGTAGATATTCATAGCTGCTTGATGCTGCTTGGCAAGATATATTGTTTTAAATTTTCTTTTCAATATTAATCAAATAGTTGCTGTAGGAAAGCTAGTATTTAACTTATTACAATAGCATATGAGAGATATTGTTTCTTTTATGATGTATATTCTGATATATACAAATCAAATAAAAAAATAATATTTATCTACTTAAAAAAAAAAAGATCATGAGATATGTCTCACCTTAACAGTAAAAAAAAAAAAAAAACTACTAGTTATAACAATACTAGATATCACCAGAAATTGTAATCTTATAAGCAGGAGTTTAGTAAATATACTAGGTTTAGAGATTGATACTTTTCATAAAAAAAAGACAAAACTATTAATTTCTTTTCTATTTAAAAAATTATTAAAAAATTTAACTATAGAAAATAGTATAACATTACTAGAAAAAATCCATAAAATAAATTCTTTTTTTCAATCCAAAGACAGTAAATGGAAACAGGTGAAGATTAATAATATTTTAGTTCTTAATAAATCCAAATTTGCATATGTATTGTTATTAGATTTACTATGGATTCAAGCAAATATGTTAAAAATAAATTTTTCCAATTATACTTTCATATTGCTTGATGAAACCAATATATTATTGGATATTTTACAAATATCAATACCAGTAAAAGAATATTATAAGATGGTAAAATATTATATAATAGCATTAGATATAAATAATAATGAAATATATCTTAAGAAATACTTTCTCTATAGGTTGTCTTATAATAATCAGTTAGAAGCCAAAAGATATGGAACAGATCTGTTATTAGATGAACTGGATGTAAAGTTAAGTATAGTTAAGAATATTTAGAAAATGTATAGTATATATATATCTAAAATTAATTATCTGAATATTAATTATTTTTTTCAATTAAAGATATATAATTTGTATTTTTGATTTATCAAAATTACTAAAACAAATCTTATATTTTTTGAAATCAATTGATTTCTCTATTCTGCTTTATTTATCAACTACCTTTGGTATTACTATGGTGCTTCCATTTTATAAGAACATATTGAGTTTTTTATAGAAAAAAATTATCAAAGAAATCTGTATAATCAAAAGATATCTTGAGCTCATATTTGGCAATTAATAAATTTTAAAAAAGTTATATGTAGAAAGATAAAGTCAACCTATTGTGTCAAGATAATATATCTCAGATTAGAAGATTTAAAAATCAAAGATATATTAATTAGTATAATTTTATACTTATTTCTAGATATATACACTCTTATTCTTGATCGAAGTAATAGTTTTTCTAATATATCAATTATAGATATTGTAAAAATTTTGTTTGAAATTAATATATTTAACTCTTAATTTATATAAATGTCTTACTAATCAATGTATTACTAAAATAGTACATTCTTGTTCAAAACTTAAACATCTTGAACCTGATAATTGTTCAATTAGTAAAAAAGTTGTCAAGAAAATACAGTGCTCATCATAAATAATGAGAATCATTTTTTTATATAAATTTTGCGGGTTTTATTTATTCGGGTTGCGGTTTTGCAGTGACGTCCATGTAACGTCTATTAAAAAATTTATGTACATATAATGATTAATTTTTTTCCCATTATTTTCAATAACGTCATTTAATCGCCCTAACATTCTGTTTACCAAATTAAGACATAAGTCTACAAAAATATTCTTCCATTCTTCTTAAATTATTTCATGCCATTGCATAACACTAATTTTTTTTTCTAATTATTTTGCTTACTCGTTTCTCTACCTTTTTTTTGATAATAGCCTTAGATTCTCTATTGGGTTTATAACAGGGCTATAGGAGGGCCAATCGAGGATCTTCGGGACTTGATGACGAAGAAGTTCGATCATATCTTTTGTCATATGTTTTGGGTTATTATCCTGCTAGAAGACCCAATGCAACGGCATAATCCTAAATGCATTTTCAAAAAGATTATTAGTTAAAATATTGTGATAGAGCAACCCATCCATATTTTGAGTAAAAATATGGAAGCCGATCATTTTGTGCACTGAGAAAACACCCCATGCATAAACTTTCGCTGGCTGTTTTGGAACCACCTTTTGTGAAACATCCATTCCGGTCTTATAAAATGCTGTCATAATGTTACGAAACATTTGGAAGATAGTTTTATTCGAAAATATGACATTTTTCCAGTTCTGCCTTGCATGAGCAGTTATCAATTCTAAATATTATTTGCATTGCTTTGTGGTAAGTAAAGGTACTGTTTAGGAATGACTTGAGCGATAATCAAGTTTATTAAGCTCACGATTTACCGTTCATGCTGATATTTTAATCTTATTACTAAACTTAGTGACAATTTCTTTGCAAGTAAAGTATTGATTATTTTAAATAATTCTTCTTAGCACACATCAATTTGGAGGAGTTAAAATTGTTGGTTATCCAAAACGTGAAATAGGTCCAAGTTCATGATTTTTTTTTAGTTGGATAATATACTTGTATATTATAGAAAGCGGAACATCATTTAATTTCGACAGAGTCAGAGCATCGCAAACATCACAGTTCCAAAGCTCACTTACGATCTTTCGTCAGTTAGCAAGAGGGATTTTTTCCATTTTAGGATAAAAAAAAAGTGGGAAAATTAAATAGGGATGAGTTTTTTGGTGACTTGTTTTTAAGTTATACATACAAACAACCTGTTATTAAAAGTTGATTTTGTTAGGAACGTATAATCAGAAAATTTATATATAGCAGTTACGTGTTATTAAATTCTTGTTATTTATGATGATCACTATAACTTATAACTGTACTAATTTGAAATATTCCAATTTGAAAAGATGTAAAGGAATTAGCAAAAAAGTGATGAAAAAACTTAATTTTAAAATTAAAATCAAATATCCTGATTATTCTAATAATGAATATTCAGATCTTAATTTATCTCTACTTATTTCAGAATATTCTGCTAATAAATTCTTGAATTCTGATCTACCTCCACTTATTTCAAATTCATTAAGATATCTTGAAGCTTTATTTTTAGTGGTGGATCTAATAGAATAGTTTTTCATAATATATTAATTATAACAGATTTTATTTCTGCGATTAGAGTATCATCTAAATTAACTGATTCAAAATGAATTAATTTATTAAATAATCTTATTTGAGCTATTAATTAATGATTACATCTATTGTAACAAGGGCTTTAAGCAGATAATTAATTATTAGCTATTTTTTTTTATTATAATATGCATAGGGCTCCTAATGATATTACTTTGATACTACTTTGATACTTAAATTTACTATAAAATCATATGAGTAGGTTACAATCCATATATTAAATTTATTATAAATCAATAACATTTCAATACCAGTTTGATATCAGTTTGGTACTTTTCAGAGCTCTAAATATGCATCATTAAATATATTTAATATGCTTATACATTATTTGATCAAAGGAAAAATCACAGTTAAAGCATTAATATATATATAATATATCCACAATGAGTGATAATATATGTAAATCCACATATATAGCAGGATCTCTTTATTTATAAAAAACTGTCAAATGAACATTATACAAATAAAAAAAATAAAACTTTGATTCAACTCCACTATAAATTAAATAACCATTAATCTAGAATATTTAATATATCCTTATAGCTTAAATGATAATAATTATTATTATCTAAACAATATTGTACATGTTCTCTAAAAACATAATAAAGAGAATTTCTTACATAAAAATTGTCATTATTTTCAAGTTCATAGTTTGGATTATCTAAATTAATGCATAAATTAGATATGTATATTTTTTAACTTCATATGTATATAATGAGTCTCACCATACCTATTTCTCCCAGTATTATGTTAATGATTAGAATTGGATGTTCTTTGACTAGATCTTATATTAGATGATATTTGAATGATAGTTCTAAAAGCATTAAATTAAATATTCATATTTTGAGAGGTATTGTTATTATTGCTCTCAGGGGTATTGGTTTCATTAATATTGCTCATTTTTATATTCCTATACAAAGTTCGCAATAAGTAAATATGTTTTTATAGTCTTAATTAATAGTGGTACAATAAATAATGATATATTACTTTTAATTAGTGGTGAAAAACGTTATTGGTACCTACTAGAGAAAAGAAAAAAACGATATATTTTATACTGCCCAGAACAATTAGATCCATTTTAAAAACCAAATAATTCTCATCATTTTTGCGGTTAATCACTCAACATAAGTCAGATTTCCCCTGTATTCACAACTGGACGGTGAAACATTGCCCTATCCGACTTCTTAATGAATAAACAAATCGTTAATTGCACTACTCTTCGAACTCCTTAAATTTGATGATCTCTTCCTAGTAGTAATGATCTTGACGATCTGGGAAATGCTAAGTCACTGTGTCATATAAACTTTGATAAAGCTACTAATGAGAAATGATAAGCCCATCCCCCTTATGGCTCTTTTAAATCCATTTCGTGTTTTTCTTATCAGGAAACAGGTTATAAGAAATAGCCGGTTTGTGTTCGCCTTATAAAAATAAGCAACGAAAATCATATCACGTGAATTAAACCCGCAAATCAGGGATAGGCATAGAAGTTAGTACAACATAGATAATCATTATTTTCTGCTTTATTTTTATAGAAATTACTTCCATAATAAATATGCTTCTGCGATAAGAACCAGCGTAAACGAATCTCAAAAAGGCAGTAAGAAGGGGCAGACCGACATTTTCCATTAATGCGTATGTCAAGAGACTTATGTCTTGGGAAGTCGAAATCTCCGCAATCTCCGGATCGTCGTATGTCTGCCAACTTTGTAACCTGCGTAATCTATTTACTATAAAAAGCCACTGATCTACTTAAAAATAAACGAAAAAATTTTTCGCATTTGCACAGTGCATATAGCTTTGGAGTTGCGATCCAGGCTATATTAAGGTTTACGATTTATTTTTATTTTTTTATAATACTTGGGCTAAATTCTGGTACGTTTCAACAGTTACAAGATATTTGAGATATATATCAGGTTTATTTTGTAATATTTTTATTGGAAAATTTTATATTAACTAGTTTGTAGAGACAAAAAAGCCCTTCCTTTGGATGTTTCTACCTATAAAACCTACCTTATTTGTTCCTTATTGACTAAACTGTTACCATAACATACCATTTTCCTGGAGTATATTAATCATTTTTTTCCATTCCTCATCGGTATCGAGCCATGATGAAGTGATTCCATCTTTCTCAAGAGAACGGCGGATTATTTCTTCACTTATTAATCTTTCTCGCACTGTCATATCCATATATTCACTGGGATCTTCTTCAACCTTCTTTGCATAACCACACATTCTTGCATCAGTTTGCATTCTATCACGGAATGCTATAGAATCGAGCTTATCTTTCTCAGTTATAGTAATGAAAACATCTGGATCCTCGCCAAGCTCAACTGCTTTCTGCCTTAATCGTATTTCTCGTTGCTCCCTGGTCAAATATCCAGGCGGGTATGATATCTGGATGGGAGTTGAATCAGAGATTCGAGACTCTATCTCTTCTTCGTTACTAGTTTTTGGTTCATTATTTGCTGGTAAGTCAGGAGAAATTTCTGACTCATTTTTCACAGATTCGATAATCTCTGATTCCTCGATAATATCTGCTGATTTATCGTCCACAGGTTCTACGTGTTTGATCTCAGGGGGCAGAGATATATCGGTAGACTTGGATGACGAAGCAACTGGAGATTCATCTATTATAGAATCGAAGAGATCCTGGGTCATATTAGTAACTGGTGGAGTGGGTGATGAATCCTTGCCTTTTTCGATGTGATTGGTGGCTAATGGTTCTGTTATCTTTTTTTCTGATTCGGGA